CCCCAGATGGGGAAAGAGTGTGTAGCTGTCCCCCTCCCCTTCGAAAAATGTGACGGAAGATTGTAATTTGATAAAATTTGCGACAGGCCCAATCAAAAAAAGCGACACTTTTTTCAAAATAAATGATACACCATTGTCCAAAATAAAAAGTATATTTAGAATTTACAAATAAAAATTCAGTAGGTACAGAAATGTATACTTTTTTTTTAATACAAACTGATGTCTGTACACAATGTAGGCTGATAAAATAATTTATATTAAATTATTGGAAAATACATCAAAATAAAAAAATAATAAAGTAAATAAACAATATTAGAATTAAAGAACTACAGCAGGACATCTGTTTTCTGTTGTCTAATATAATGTATAATGGGATGTTTTTTAGTACATCACGCAGATGATGGTGTTCGAAAAAGCACCTGTAACAATTTGCGTTGTTAGAATCTTCTGCTTCTTTTGGTTGGTTGTTGGTTGGTTGAATAATGATGCAAGTTTAGAAAATTTGTAAAATCTGGTAAAAATCGCTTCAATAGTCCATAAAATGGACGAAATAAAATTAGGATCGTCAATTATCCTTCTAATAAGCCACTGACAGAAACGTATATACTGTTTGGCATCCCCAGGATGAAAAGTTTGATCACCTGTATAGTGGTAAAGATGTAATAGAGCCCTGGGTAGAGTTCGCGAAAAAAAACATTGGTAAAATTCTAATTGCGTACTTATAGGATTATCTAGAACTGCATCAATTATAGCTTCTTCATGATCTGTAACATTTTGTCTCTGCTCTGTCTTGCTCCAGCCTCTTGAATTTTTGAAATACCAAACTCACCCTTCGGAAGGTTGAAACAAATAGCTGGTGAATAGTTCTTCTATTAGGGAATCTGCTAGGGCATTTCCGTCAAAAAGCCAGAATATACGTAAACGATCCTCTCTTGTAATAAAATCAAACATTCCGAAAATGATTATCGTCAAACAATTATTTATTACATTTAAAAATGAATTATTGTTAACGGCAGCAATTGCTTTGATGCCTATCAAATCGATTTTAAGAGTTCGATTTTTACCTTCTGCATTTTAAAAACACATTTAAACATTTTAATAATTCCATCCCAAAAATGATTGTAAAGAGAATTACAATGGCTGCAATGTAATATAAACGATTTTTTCAGCCTATATTGTTTTAAGACATCATTTTAGTAGAAAGGCATTATTCAATTAATTTTTTTGTAAATCCGTATTATTTTTTAATGGAGCGTTTGTTTGAAAATATGTAAGGATGCTTTTTTGTAATAAAATGAGGGCTAAATCTATAAAACAGATTATCCCTAATATTAGTATGTGACGCAAAATTTTTACTATTCTGCTGGTTTCTCAAAGCAGACATTTACTAGGTACACTAAATTTTAAAACAATCTGTTCTGGAAATATTAAGAAAATATTATTTTTTTATTGAAGTTCATCACCCTATATCTTCGTAAGGAGGCATTTTGGAACAAAGGTTTATTCGACCAATTATTTTGTTCTGACGAGAAGTTTCGGTTAAATTTGTTACACTTAATTATGCCTCACCCTGTATAGTTCTGAGATCCGACTACATGCATCACCAAAATGTGCCACCAGCAATAAAAATGATAAAACATACTTTTAAACAGGAAAACATCAGCTTCATGTATATTGTACAAATTCTTCTGTAACTCGAAAAAGTAACTTAAAAGTAACTTTACGGCTATTTCTTTTACAAAAAAGTGAGATTAAAATTATTGATCGTTTTTTTTTAAGCGACAAAAATGATCTGATTGACTTCGTAGGAAGACCTGTTATGTAAATATCTTGGAAAAATATTTTGTTTTATTTTTTTTCGTCCCTTTTACCATGGGCGTAGCTACAATTTTTGCTTGGGGTGGGCTGGAAGTTCCATGAAGGACTCTAAAAAAAACCGCAACCAGTGACTTACCGATATAAAATTTGAACACGTTTTGATTTGATTCTGAAAAAAAAAGTCATCGGCTTACCGATATGACAAAGATGATGATATTATATCTTTTTTTCTGCTCCCCCTACGCCCACGCCTTTTGCAAAAAAATTACTGTCACTTTATTTTATTCTTACAATACATGTTCTTATAATGCAGCATAATCATTTAAATGACTAATTTCACAAAATATCTCGAGATCGTAATATTTTATTGTCGCACCACACCATCACATAAATCATTTAAAAGTATTATAAAGGATAGCGGGCCTAAACTGGACCCTTGAGATACTCCAAATCATGCCAGATAAGTAAAAGAAGGTCGAGTTGAAATTTAAATATACCCTATATTGTTGTTGATTGTTTTTGTTATTCAATTTCATTTTCCGTTATTATTGAAAAGAGTTCTAGATAATTTCTTTTCATTTGTAAATTTTCTTTCACACTCGAAAACAAATCAGGAAGTTGTATAATGTCAAATATTCATTTTTTCTCTGCTTGTGTTATGTTATTTATTCGATGAAAAAAATAATAAGAGAACTACAGGGTGAGTCACCAGTAACACTTCGGTGGATAGGGACCAAACGGCAAATGCTATAGAAACCTGTTTATGTGGGTATGTGTAGGTTGATTACGGCTACATTTTAAATTTTGAAATATACAGGGTGTCCAGGAAGCGCGTACCATATCAAAGTTATGTATTTTTAAATGGGTGAACTTTATTAATGGTTCTGCATACCTAGGACTTATTGTTTGTGAGATATTTCAATTTTAGTGAAAATGCAGGCTTAGCGTAGAAATGTAATATTAGCAATAAAAAAATTATTTTAAGGAAGCAGCTTTGGAGAGTGTATTTTAAATCCTTGAAGTTATAAATTATTATATTTGTCGTCACTTAGTATTGTACAGGGTGTTAAAAAAACCTGTTGAATATTTCTCTCAACTTTAAACAGCAATAATTTGGTTATTTTAAACGGGACACCCAGTATATTTTTACTTTGGAAGTTAGGAAATTTAAAACTTTGGAACTGTGTATAGGTTCCCCATACATATCTCTAACAACGGTATTGGAGATATTGTGCCGTTTCGTTTTTTATCGAATTTTTTTGTAAGATGTATCCACGTGTCTTTATCGAGGTCTTTATTGAATTGGTAAAGCGTCAATCATGACAATATTGAAGAAAGTTTTCTAATAAAAAATATTATTTTATATCTCCAATACCGTTAGAGATAGGTATAGGAGACCTATACACAGTTCGAAAGAGTTTTAAATTTCCTAACTTCCGAACAACCCTGTATATTAATTTGCTCCCAAAAAAATGGAAGCTGTAAAGACGTATTTTTTTATAAGAGACAGCTACATTTTGCTACATTTTCCGACATTATTCTCTACGTAAATTAATGTTGCAAATCGTCGCTAAAATGATACTTTACTGCCGTTTCAGTTGAAATCTAAATATGTAGTAGTACATTAGGAAAATTAGCGAAAATAAAAGAGAAACTCGAAAAAAGTCCTATCCGCGAGATTATTGTAATTACCGAAATTGAAAAATTTTAATTAATATTTCGTTTAACAATAATTTTTGTGACATTTTTGTAAATTAAAAAAAAATTAAGTATAAAAGATGCATTTTTTCTGGGGTTCTGGGATTCTACGAATTCGTAAATATGCCCATTGTTATTTTTTCGTCGAGCTACCCCAGTTTAAAAATAATAATTAGTTCCTACGATGAATAGAAGCCGAGTTACTGCAAAATTTACAGCGCGCATCAATTTGATCTTTGGAATTACCTTTTCTCGCGCGCGCGTCTCGCTTGGACGAGCTTCCCCCACCACCACGCTGCCGGCCTCCGGACGGTTTACTTAGCGAGTGCCTTCCCTTTAAAGGGCTCGTGAGTCGTTAATTTTCCACATTTTTCAATGCAATTCACGGGAAATCGTAGTTTACGTCGTAAACTTTATTTTGCGAAAAATTCAAGTCTTAATATTTATAAACAATTGCTCTACGATTTAAAAAAAAAATTCTTATCTTAGCTCGTAGAGGGTGCTTTTTTTTAAATTGTATTTTTTTGCCAGCTATCCATTGTATCTATTATCGGTGAGGTAGCATAAATAGCAACAATTTTATTCAAATTGTTTATAAGCGAAAAACGCACGGTTTTTTAATGCACAATTTGAGAATGTTAGTGTCAAAAAAACGGTGATATTTTTTAATAGGTCAATTAATTACGTCTGTAAGATTACAATAGCGCTTTCAGAATCATGTTTGGTTGAAAATTGACGCCTGTACAGAGGCTTAAAGTTCATAACTTTTGGAGCCTCCGTTATATACAAATTGAATTGTGCGAAAACTATTGCACCTACAGCGCCCACTTTTGGCACACTTTTAAAGTATGACAAAACCCTCAATTTGACATAGGTTTTATAAAATTTTAACAATAAATGGATAGTTATAAAAAAAATTAAAAAATGGGCACTTTTCTTGTTTTTTTGCAATAACTTTTTTGTTATTAACCGATTTTAATTTAACAAGTCTCATTTTGTGGATAATTTTATTCCCTACAAGCTGTCTGAGAGTCACTTTTCTCTAAAATTGATGGTTTTCCCTGCAAAGTGAAAAAACTGTTTTCCTTACTTATATGTTTAAATAGAAAAGTTTTTTTATTTGCTTGGCCTATAAGGTATTCCTACAGTTTATCTTGCTGTTTCTTTTCTCAATTTTCCGTAAATTAATTCATATAAGAAAAATAAGGTGTTATTCTATTCAGAGAAATAATTCCAAACAGAACAAGTATCGATATCCTCATTTTCCCATCACCTCACCGGCCCCGAAACCCTCAATCGATACATGTAAATAGCTGCAAAAGGCGGAGCCAAAACCACCCCCTGAACCTCGGCCGCGTATCCGGATCCTCCGGGCCCTCCGGAGCACGGCGCATGCATCCCGGACCATTTCAGGGCTCAGTTTCAGTCCCGCTTCAGTTACGACACGTGTCCCTTGTAAGAAGACACGTGGCGCGTCACGTGTCTGCCTTTGTCGACTAATTTTCGAAACGTGTACGGGTAATGATAACAGCAGAACTGTTCTGTTAATCGTGTTCTGTAAGATGACCTTATGACCCCTGCGTGAAGCTAAGATGTTCAGCACTATGGAGAATCTGGATCTGGACGTGGTGAACCGTCAGTTCTTCTTCGACACGAATTCTTTTATGAATGGGAACGGCAGCAGCAACGGGAGCACCACGGGGTCCTCGAATAGCAGCGACTTGTTCCTGTACGACGACAACAGCAGTGACTCGGCCGTTTCTAGTTTTTCTTACAATAGTGATCAGGAGAACAGATCCGACTGCAAAGAGTAAGTTTAAAAAATTGTTCTAAGTTAAAGAGAAATGTATTATACAAGGCGGATTTCAAATTGCAATGTAATGCAGGTTTTTTGTTTATAAATACATAGATCGTATCTTACTTTATTTCAAAGATTGTGCCAATTAAAAAAAAAAATTCTTAAACAATTAGTAGGTAATTAATAATTATCTAAGTAAATTAATTTTTTTTAGAAATATTTTTAAAAAACCTTTTTAATACAAGAAAAACATAAAAAAAAATATAAATAACAAAAAAATAAAGAAATTCAACGAAAATTATAAAATAGATAAAATTGGTGCGTTACATACAGGGTCGGAAAGTCCCCATGGTTCATCGGCCGTTACGTGAGAGCGATAAAGTAAGTCACAGAAATCCGTGCGATAGAGAAAGATGGCTATAATGAAGGGGTATAATAGTCACCGCCCATTTCGCTCTTCCACAAATAAGATCCACTTCTTATTGCTTTTTGGAATACAGAAAGAACATAAGATGCGCTACCTTCCGCTAACAAAATTGCCTGAAGAAAATTATACTGAGTGTCCCATTTTCACGTTACATTTTGAAAACTTAAAACCGACAAAACTTTTTAAATTGAAATGGAACACCCTGTATATTTCTGCATCATATTATAGAAAATTCTCAAGAATATTACGTTAAAAATATCATTAATGTGCCTTTAAAGGCAAATATTGGTACTGTTATTCAGTATTCTACAAGTATCAAGTATTTGTTCGACAAGAAAAATGCAAAATAATTATTCTAATGAAGATATTTAAATTTTTTTTATATCCATGGACATGAAACATTCACCGTGAATCAAAATTATTAGCTGTATTGATTTGGTATTTTGCAACTGAAACAGAACAATTAAGTAATGAAATGATTTCGGTTGGTTTTCTTAGAATTTTTCTCTAATTTTTAATGTTGTCGTAAGAATAGCAAAGACAATAAATAAGACAATTTTCAAATAACTAATAAATGCATTATTATAATTTTATGATGGAATGAAGTTGCGAGGATGCTATAATTTAAAATTTTGATTATTTTATATTTCATTGTTTTCTTAATGAAAGCATGCTTATTTGCTCTTTATTGTCCTTGCAGTTGCTAATAATAGTATCCCAAGGAAATCTTATTAGATATTATTTTTGTGTAAATATACCCCCTCATTATTTAAAAGATGCAACATTGCAACAAACGTCAAACAACGCACTTTATTAATGTAATTATGAAAAAAAATCAATGTTCTACAAAGAAAGCTATTGTATGTAGATCGCCAAGTTTCATTGGCGGCTTCTTCAAAATTTGCAAAATACCAAATCATAGAAATGCAACTAATACTGACTCATGGTGAATGTTCGTCCCATGGACATAAAAAAATTCAAAATATCTTATATAATTATTCTGCATTTTTCTTGTCGAGAAAGTAGGTACTTGATATTTGTAGAACACTGAATGATAATACTAATATTTGCCTTTCAAGACACATTTAATGATATTTTAACGTAATATTCCTGACAATGTAAGTAAACCACAAATATCTGAGAAAATTGAAACTGTAACCTTTACAATGCCTATATCGGTGAAAAGAGAATTTGATTTTCTATAATACGATGCAGAAAAATACATTTGAATTTAAAAAGTTTTGTCGGTTTTAAGTTTTCTAAATGTAACGTGAAAAGTGAGATACTTCTGTAGGCTGGCACTAGCGGGAATGATTGTATTGTAAAAAAATAAATTTTAATTGTTGTTATATTTGTTACCAATTTTTTTCAAAACCGATTTATCTCGCAAACCGTTCATTTTTTCGAAATAAATAAAGAGTACCATTTTTAAAGAAAAACCTTCAGAGTATCTAATAATAATATTTTCAGTTTGATAAAATTACTTCTGTCAAAATTTTGAGAAAAATTGTGATAGGGGCAGTCCGTTTCTGGACACCTGATAATAGCAAAAAGTTGATTTTAGCATCAAATCGTAGAGCTCCATGTGTAATACAACGTACGAAAATTTTATTAAAATATACAGGGTGGTTTCAAAGTTATAACCCTAAACGTTAATTTCTAGGTACCCCTTTGACCCCCCATAACTCCGTTAGGGGGCACATTAGGAAAAAAAATTATAGGAAGGACTAGTTTTATTTTGACCTCCCCTATATACTCCCGAGAGATTAGGAGGTACTTACCGGACACCCTGTATAGAGTGTTCCATTTAAAATAACGAAGCTGACAGCTACTTCCGGTATAACTGGAAGTGCTACGTTGATAACATTATTTTCATCGAAGAGAACATATCTGATAACCCCCGTAAACCAAAATATACCACCCGGAAACAAAAAATATGGTGATATAAGAAAAAAAACTTTAAGAAAGATAATGTTTTTTCCTGTGCCGCTTAACGGCGAAGTTAACCTTTATAGTCCTCAGGAATTTTTAAATAGCAATTTGCTAGCAATGATGTCTTAGAATAATTTTTTTTTCTTGTCTTAGTTTTATCTTTGTTTTAACTGAATATGTTTGTCTATTATTTTACTTCTATCTTGTTTTTCATATTATTTACTACAAAATTGTTTTAGTGTTAGTATTTTCTGTGTGTACTGTTGTTTTTTGACTTGTGCAAATACTTTGTATACTTGGGCACCAATAAACTAAACTAAACTAAACTAAAAAATTCATTAAAAGTTAAAAAACGGTTTTTCGCTAATAAAAAAAACTTGAATTCCAATTGAAAAAAGTTAAATAAGAAATTTGTAGCTATTAAAAAAACCTATCGATTCGTATTTTTACATATATCGATTGCTATTTTACTTTTCGAGATACATCGAGAAAACCGTCAAAAATTGACTTTTTATTTTTGTATCTCTTGCAAATTAAGGTTTTGAAACTTGTTACTTGCTGTAAATGTAGCCCTCGGCAAGCAAAAAAAGTGCCTTTTTTTAAATTAAAAAATATTAAAAATTTTTCGAGTTATATCGATTTTTCGAAAAAAAGGTTATCTCGAAAATCGGTCTTTTTACTCAAGGAATAATCGTAGAGAAACGAATCAGGGATAATTTTTTCTCTTAAGAGTTTTCCTTTCATGGTAAAAAAGAGTGATAACGATTTTAATCATTTCAAGTGTCCAAAAATCACTTTGAAAAAAAGTAAAATTTTTTTGATCGCGTTTTTCTTGAATATCTTTTTCGAATTTCATTTCTCTATTATGTCTATTACATGAATCGATTGCTGGCATTTTTCTACGCGAATTTAAAAAAAAATGTTACTCTACGACCTTCTTCTGGAGCCGATATATTTTTTTTTTTTTCAAAAAAATACTGTGCTACTCGGCCGCTCCGAAAACTGAATTCGCGCGTTCAAAAGCGCTCTTAATTTCAAAATCTTCATTATCTTGACTTCTGGACCATGTACAAAAATTCGATTCGATTTCTAGAGGCAGCTGTCCTCCTCTGCTCTCCCTTGGCGACACCCTTGGTACATACCTGACACAGGTAATGAAATTGTTGAAAATTTGAAGTTTTACGTTGCTGTACTGTGATAATAATAGTGTTGAGCAAAAAAAACGTACGATTTGGTCGGTACGGCCCTGTTCGCACGATTAGAACAAATCTGTGGGGCCTTTTAGGAATCTTGTATGTATAAAGTTAGATATTTCTTCTATACTTAGATATTTGATATCGTAGAACATTGCATTGGCTGATTTCATTTAACACGTTTTTTTAAGAAAAAAATTTATTTGAATTGGCTTGACTCCTTTGAAATAAAGTGTTATCTAATGCAGGGGTGTTTCGTGACGAACCGTGTACAGTGTATGTCTACAAACTGAGTTGAAAAGAGGGAAAACTTTTCTATTTCTTACTTTAGAAAAATTCATTCATTAATCTATTCGTATACAACTTGGTGTCTCTAAAGGGACAACGCTCCACCAGATATAGTACGGCTCAAAATAAGTCGATTTAACTAAACTTACATTAGTCCAAAAACTGATAATAACAGGGTGTCAAAATTGAAAAAATGATTAACATTTTCTTTAATATCTTTCGACTTAGAGCTAAATTCGTGAAATTTCGTATCCGGGGGTTTTCTGGGAAGAGAATTTCGAATTTATCGACGATTTCATTGTATCTTCTAGACTAGAGGGTGCCAAGAGAGACCATAAGGACGCATTTAAACTGCCTAAATTTTTTTGTGCCACGGTGTATTTCACTTTGGGCTGGAAAAATCTTTTGCCCCCAAGTTTTCTGCTTGAAAAAGGTATACACTGCTAATATCTCTAAAGCCAACCGTTTTCAACAAAAAGGCATTTAAATTTGTAAATGCATAAAAAAAATTTGAAAGATGAAAGACAGAAAGATCTTGTTCCGATATTTTACTTAGAAGTGTTTCATCATTTATAAAAAACACCAAACATTAAAAAAATTACCTGCATTTTGAAACGACAGTGTCAAAAATGTCGAATACGACTAGATTTTACTAAACTTTTGATGGGTACGATTTTTTAGGAATATTTTTTTGTTTATTTGAATTAGCGTAATGTGTTCTGAAATGCACAGTAGAATACCTATAAAGTATTATTTTCTAAATTTCCAATTTTGTTTCCACCTTTTTTTTTCTTTCTTTAATTTCTTCTTTTCTTTCAGGAGACTTCATCGGCACCGTCGGAGAAACAAATGTCCCCAACAACAGATCCAGCAACGGCAAGCCGCCAACCTCCGCGAACGGAAGAGGATGCAGTCCATCAACGATGCCTTCGAGGGGCTCAGGGCGCACATCCCCACGTTGCCCTACGAGAAGAGGCTGTCCAAGGTGGACACGCTGAAGCTGGCCATCGGGTACATCAACTTCCTTAGTGAATTAGTGAGGACTGACAAGAACTCCAACTCTGAGTACTTCAACGGACACAACAGGAACGTCCAGAGGGACGAGCCGAAGAAGATCATCGTTAGGGGTGAGTGGAGTATATTGAAACTGAATGAAAAACGTTTGCTTGTTTCGCTAGTCCTTTATTTGGTAATAATTAAGTGATATTTAGTAGTAGTAGTGAAGTAGATTATATTAATATTCAATGGTATCATTTAAATACCTCAAAAAAATAAAAAAAATAGTGTTACTTCGTTCATACAACTGGACCTAGCGGGACTCCTGAAATCTCGATGTCGTTTTATCGATATCAAGATAATTACGAAACCAATCTCGTTCGATTCGACTCGAAATGTAAATTGGTACTCTTGAAGCACATCGATATAGTCCTCGGATAAGTTCGGCAAATTTGGGGTAATGTTGTATACCACCACGGTTAAGGCAACTGAGTGATATATTTATTTCTGTCTAACATATACGTATTTCAGCTATCTATCTCTTTTTGTCCGGCGGCGGCGTCACGCAGTTTATTTAAATTTTAAAATGAATACCTACCAATCATCAAATAAATAAACAGAAATTTATAAAATGATTTATTTAGTCTAAACAGTAAACCATGAAAGTTGATTTAAATGTACTTTATATTTAAAGGTTTTATGCGTACATACTCAACAAATTATTGATATTCCACATCCTAATTTTTTATTCGGTTTGAAATAAAATACATAAAATACTACCTTTGATTATAATTATTGTTGAACAATTAGAGCGAGAGAAGCATTTAGGAATGAAAATATTTGGAGAAGACAGTTCAATGGATCCATTATAATCTTTACCGGACAAAAAATTTGTGTAATTATTTCGCTTACATAAAAATATTATATGTAATTTAATTATGTCTATTGTTTGTCATTTAAAAGAAGTAAAAAGAACTTCGGAAACTATTCAATTCAACATTAAATTATTTTGTGCTTTCTCTGGTTTTATGCACGGTGAACATCACTGGAATGAGTAGACTTTCTTGCTTCAAGTCAACAAACTATTAATAGAGGTATAAAGAAAGTCACATATAAGTTATTTATTAAAACCTCTCCAACAATTGGATAAAATTTTCACCATTATAGAAAAATATTCCGGTAAATACACACTCATGACAAGAAAAAGATTTGTAATATTATGCAGTATTTATATTTATTTAATGCATAATAAGAAACAGAAAAGGTATCATTCAAAAACTGTTCAAATAGTTGTAGATAAATAGAAACCAAGGATTTTATACAAGTCCTTGTGTGTAAACAAGTATTTGACACTTCACATTGGGTTAGGTTAAATACGTAAAAATAAACAAAACACAAACGCAAACACATTTGTAATGTTGAAAAGAAACAGCAATAGTCAATACATGTGATAGAAGAAGAGAGCAAATCATTTCGGCTAGCCAAGATTCCTCGATATTATATCGATTCGAATGGGCGGGGTTTCGATATTATTTCGATGGCAAAATTTTCAAGATATTATTTCGATCTCGATTCGGAATCATCGAATCGACATTTCGGGAGTCCCTGCACTGATAGACTTACCTGAAGATATTACTTTTTCCTTGCTATTAACAGATTATTATTAGATTATTTAGAATCTAAATTATTTTTTACAATCAAAAATTACAAATTAGTACAATATTCTGAAAAAAGGTTGTCCTAGTAATAAATTTGAAAAAAAATAGTGTTAATATTTATATGCATTAGTTTTTGTTGCAGTGTAAGTAAATATAATTCATAATAATAGCAATAATAGTTAAACTCTTCTTCTTCACTTTCACTATCCAGAATTAAAAATGTTATCCTCGCCATCGCCATCATCATAATCTTGAAAGTTTATATATCGATAACTACCCAGGTCGAGCAAAGGTTCTAAAGTCATTAATTCTATTTCAATTTTTTGGCATGTTCGCAGTGCGTATTGTTATTCCATTCTTATGGTGTAAATGTGTCGAAAAATTAATTGCACAACTTTCCGACGTCTGTCAAAGCGATAGTGATATTTTTACTAGCGAGATACTGTTTAAGTGACGCCGAAACAAGTACGATAGGGTTCAATTCAGGGTGGTATGGTGGTTCTACTTTTAAAATGTTATCCACAAACTAAATACGTCTGTCTCGTAACCGCTGCTTTACTTCCTCGTTTCTATCAAAGTAGATGAGTTTTCGTGATACAGACAGCAAAGCAAAAATTAATGAATAATTCATTTTTATTAACGAAAAATTGTAACATAAACATTATATTATAATGTTTATCATTATAAGCAAAAAACTAAAGAATAGATTTTATAGAAATTGATACGAGACTATTTTGAGGAGTATAGAATAACGTCGAATAAAATATATATAAAATAAATAAAAAAATCGTAATTGTTCTGTGGCTTTCTCACACTAGATGTGTTCCAGCTATACAGGGTGACGGTGAGGAGACATTAGATATATTTCAGGGACTACTTCGATTTTAATTTTGAAAATTTGGGCAATAGTTTTTCTGGCATGACTAAAATAATGGCGTTCACCTAATGCTTCCGGTTATACCGGAAGTTGACGTCATCTTCGTTACTTTCAATGGACCGCCCTATATATTATTGCAATTTTCGATTCTACGTCAATGTTTAGGTAAACTTTCATAAAGGTTTCCTATTCTTAAAGTTAACCGTTTTTGATATATATTTTATTTAAAAAAAATTTAAAAAGTACTGCCTAATTCAAAAAGATGTGTATTTTACAATAATAAAGTTAGAACGATAAAATTTATAGGGGACATAACTAACACTCTAAACTTCCCTGCCAAAATGACTTTATTTCATACAGGGTGGTAGAAATTTAAAGCCGGATTTAGTCAACTTTAAACTATCTAACTTATTTTTTTTTAAATGGAACACGCTGTATATTTCTGCGCAACCTGATGAACAATTTTGTTCTCTTTCGAATGGTATAATGGTTCCCTATACATATCTCTTTTGGTTTTTAAGGTGCAGTCAACGGATATTGTATAAGTTCTTGCGAGGATGATTGTGAAATTTTTAGGGGAACTTCAAAACAAGCACCTAATTCGTCACCAGTTTATTGTTGTCATTTTAACACATACAGTGAATGTTTATTTGAGTATTATTTATTGTTAAAGCATGGAAAACCAAATTATTCAAATGCAGACATTCTAAATTTATTATTTATTCATGGAGAGTCACAATTTAATAAATACAACTTGCAGTCGTTGTCTATATTATGTTGCATTAAATTCTTTATTTCTAATATACTCAAATATTGCCAATGTAAGGGCGAGAGTTGATTTTGTAAAGTATTGCGATTTTCTTTGATTTTAAGAACTGAATAAAATTACCATCACACAGTCGTGAGTTTGGAAAAAAACTTTTTATCTCAACAATTATTGTAATCATAGTTTACCACGGTAGTACCATTTTGAAGTAAATTCTGATCATCAGATAAACAAACGCATTTTGAAAATTCACTCGTTTTGTAGTTTTGTGACCAGATGTACAAGATGATTCAAAACTAATGACTGGGCGCCATTACGGGAAAATGGAAAGAGCTAATAGTGAAAAACACTGGTTCGATCAAGTCTGTTGCTGATTTCATCGCTTCATCAGCATTGCCGTGGAAAACAAAATATTTCAATGTTTATATTCTTTATTGACATAAATCTTTATCTCCATAGGTTGTGCTGCTTCTTCAATGTAGTAAGTTTACACAAAAATAATGCCCGGAAATAATTTTAAGTCAAATACATGACATGAGGATCACTCGCGGTTTTCTATTTGGTCTTTCCGTTTCCTGCAAGTTATTTGTTTTAAAACTTTTCTGGCGTTTTTTGGGGGATATTTTAGTTCCATATTATCGAATAATAAAAATTTTATTGACTCCAGCCCACTTGATAACTCATTCAAAATCATCGCCCGCACTAGAGCCCGACAATCTCGACATTGACATACGACACAACAACAAAATAACGCAAACACAATACAATTCGACACTTGTACCGTACGGCGCTCGATGAATGGGCCCTGGGGTGTTATCGGCTATGGATATCGCGACAGAACGCTCCGTGACATTGCGGCGTAATCGTCGCCGCATTTAAGATTGATTAGCGGCGGGTCAGGGGGCGCGCAGCCCTCGACGCGGTGGTGGTTCAATGCCGAGGACTGCCCCCTCGATTGCCCCAATTCGCTACGCAAAGCAGCTGCTTCCTGTACGCTGCACATCGTTGCTTGTTTTCTTAATGTTGTATTGACAGTTTTTTAGTAACGAAATCGTGAAATTCAATGATTTTTTTGTCGTAACAGAAAGTACAGCATAAAAACAGGGCCGTAAAAAAATTAAAAAGGGTCAAACTGAAATGAAAAATCTAAGTTCGAAATTTTCGCTACGCACAGCCGATCCTAGAGCTTTAAGATGAAGTCAACAACCATGATTCGAACAGCACTGCCCGAAAATTAGCGGAGCCAACCCGAACTGTGATCGAACGTCTACTCTGTATCTAGTAGTACTGTAACCAGAAGTATCTGGCCAGTATGAGTACACGACCCGAATTCAAGCGTACTCATTGCCTTGAAATCGTTCTTAGAGGAAAGTAAGTCCCAAGATTATACTGAGCGTTTCACACAACAGGTCTAAAAAAATCTAAAAATCGAAAGAAGTTATTTCCAGATCCCTTCCAACTTCAACTAAATTGTATAGCACCCCTTATAGCAAATTTGTTATAAGCGCACTACTCGAGACCTAGACCAGCCATCTAGAGTCTAATGCGCTCAGGACTTTCTGGACCTGGGCGGAGATTCTATGGGAGAAACCCGAGCCTAAAAAAATACCAGAAAGACCTAAAGACAGAAATAGACCCAGAAATAATAAAAAAAATCTAGGCAAGTGCAAAAAGTGCTCATGAATCCAAACATTTCAACAAATCAATAGAAAACAACTCAATTGAAAGTCTACCAAACCAACGCCATCCCAAGAACGTATATTGGATCTTGCCATTTTGACTTTTGTAATTCTGACTTAAGATTCGTAATCAGCGGTTCCGAAAAGCAGAAAAACCAGTGGGAATGTAGATACTTGTAATTTGATTCTTCCCTCATTTTGAGTTTTCACCTGATGCTACTCAATTTCCGAATATCGATGATTACGCCAAACTAATCAATTCCAACAGAGATTTCTTGGAGAGAAAATAAGATATTCGTACGATTGAAAATGGATTTGAAGGGGGAGAATAGTATATACTTTCAGATGCCATAATAACAATTTTGTTAGAAAATTTAACTCGAGATATAAAACATAATCTTAAATATAGCGAAAAATCGTGATTTTTACACTTTTGGGCCAGGATCCAGGGAACGAAGAGGAGAATATGGTAAAACCTCCGAATACTTTGGGATAGATCCGATTTTTATGAAAATTTGGAATTAAGCTAATTTCACCCTGTAGATGAAAAGTTATATATGCTTGATATGCGCTTCTTATTTTTAGGGGATGAAAACTATATAGACTAAAATCATATCGTAATATATAGAATAAATATTGTTTTATATTGTGGGTTATAATTTACGTTATTTTATAAAGTTTCAACCCTTAAAAACCCCCCATAATGATAAAAATACAAAATTAATAGTTTCTTTGACCTTAAAATATTTTTATATGCATATATTATAGATAGAAATTTTTTCAATAGCTTGTGGTGTTATAAATAATTTATTACAATATATCAACTCTTAAAGACTACCCCTAATAACAAAATATTTAAAAAAATAGTTTTTAAATGATTTGATATGACAAACAGGATAAATTGAATTATTTTACCTGGTTATAATACAATTTATAATTTATCCCATTGTTTTAACCCTTAAAAACCATCCCCAATGATAAAATATAATCCAATAAAAAATGCAAAATATATTTTTCTTTTTCGTTATAACTGTCCCACGATTTACTTTAATTTATGCAATATTCAAAATAATTATTTCTCAACATTTTTTTCATGCAGAAAGTCATAATTTCAAATTTTCCTATACCTATGAATGCTCCAAATTTGTGGATAACCAAAATATGTTCCGAAAATTGAAGCGGTAAGGTACCGTTGGTTTTTTAACGACAACTTCCTTAATTTTAAAGTTTTTAAGACGATCCAAAAACGATTTTACGGAAAATATCGACAGCTAAAAGTACTGTAAAATTAAATATTTTTTAACGTTATTTTTGAGATTTTTGAGGTTAAAGGGTTTGTAAAACATGACATTCGCCCTCTACTGCAAACTTCTAGCAGCAACATCTCTGTCAATTTTTATCCTACACAAATAAAAAAAATTCTGTGAAAAAAAATTTAAACTTTTGTACACTTGAATAGTTTTCGTATATTTTTTATGTTTAAAGTTATTTTCAAAAATATGTTATTTTTTTTTGTAATTGAAAATATTTTTTCAATGAAAACGCAATATTTTAAAAAATATTCAATAAACATAAAAAATGTAAATTGTAGAAGGATTACCTTTAATTTTAAATCTAGTGAAAAATTCATCAGTTATTGTACTAATTTTTTTTCCGAAAAAGCGAATTAATAAATTATTTTGATCATAACTGTTAATTTTTATGCTAATGTCTTAAAGTCAAGTTCATTTTAAAGATTTTTTAAAGGACTTTAAAAAATGTTCTGTGCATTTTTTCAAAAAAATAGAATTTACGTAAATGCTTCCAATTTAATTTCAGGTGGACACGAAATTATCTTCAACCAGTCGTATCTCAGCACCTATTGCACCTACATAAATGAAAAAAAACTCAATCTTTTTCTATAAGCTTAATTTTCTTCGTGATGTTTTTTTTTCATAAAATGTCTATTTTCCGAGTTTTTCTAGAAAAATTACTGAAAAACGTCTTTTTTAATAAACTGAAGACCAAAATCAAATTCTTCCCATCAGATTTACTAAGATGAGTGGCCCCAGAGTGTTATCATTGTGTAGGAATTCTACACTATATAATTTAATATGTATTTTTTTTAATTAACTTCAATTTTTGCAGGAGGTGGAGGTCTCTACACAGCCCATTCCCTGTCCTGGTCGAGGATCAAAGAACCGAACCCCAATGGAATAATGCACGCGAAAGTCTGGATGCCAGAAGACCCCAGAGCCAACAAAGAAACCCCAAATGGTACTTCGTACAGCCTCTCTGAATGACGTTAAGTGAAATGTATATTAGTTAAACTCCCCACAAAAAAATTATCTACCTAGATCAAACACTACCGAGTCTGTACTAGAATAACTTTTCTTTCAATTTGTTCAGTTTTCTCGAAATATTTTCAACTTAATCTAGTCATTTTTACATTTCTAGTCATAAAAGAAATGGAATACCTCTGTAAATATGTAAATACTTAACATGTTTTTTTATTACTTTAACAATGTTTTTTTTTATACCAGACCATATAGGAGCAAATCGTTTCCTTTTTTCTATTTTTCCTATTGGCACAAAGCTAGATCCGTAGGAGAAATGAAATTAATTTCTAAAGCAACTCATTTCAAATTGCGAATTTTTTAAGCTTACTGCAGTTGGAAAAATATTGAATTAATTTTAAAGCAAAGTGTCTGTGTTCCAAATCTATGGTTCGCGCGGGACATATTTCTTACAACAGAGGAGAGGCATCACCTGGGCAGTTCCCACGCATCCGTGACGTCGCGGCGCCAGGCGTCGATATATTCAAACGAAAGCTATTGGTCCAAGCTGTGGACTTCCCACACTCTGTCAAGATGGCGACTTTCAGATCTTCGTACATCGTATGTTATTAATTTTAGGCATTTCACTATAAAGAAGCACTTTATGTTACACTTATCAGAACACTGACAAGAAAGAATTAGAAAAAGCTAATTCTACCACCATCTCAACTCATCCAGTGATCGCACACCGAATATTTTGCAGCATTTTTTCTTATTTTCCTGAAAGTAAGATTTAACATCAACAAAATTAATGTAGCGTTCTAATATTTTGTTTTTCTAAGACACAAATACTTTTTTTTTAAATATTTTCCGAAAACTATTCAAACGCATTTGTATTTTGACTTTCAGTAAAATTAAATAACATCTTACTTTTACTATTGCCTCCCAGAATTAAAAATTTCCCTCTTACCGAGATTTTGCGTTAAAAATGTGTTTTGGAATCTTGATTCCACATGTGAATCGGTAGGTGTGGGTATAGTTGCCTCATTAACATTTTCTTTTATAGATAACTACGCAATAAATAATTAATGTGTAGAGCGAAAACAAATATAGATAAAAATATTTACGTAATACAGGTGTTTGTGTACACGTGTGCAATGTATTCTGGTCAATATACTGACATATACAGGGTGGTCTGTAATGATTGGGCCATAGAGTAAAGGTAGATTCTAACCTTGACTATGTCAAGGATTCTAGGTATGAAAACGATGAGATTTAGCCAAACATGTCTTAACAAAAATCGAGCGTTTAAGTGATATAGAGTGATATATAGAGATTCATTGTAGATTTATTATTAATTTAATGTTATTAATTTAATATAACTTGACAAATGTCAAGTTATTTCAGTTGTTTTGGAGTGTTTCTGGTCATGGCCAATTTGACAGGTCTGATACGAGAAAAACTGTCCAAAAAATAGAAAATTGCAAATATCTCTAAAAGTAGTAAGACAACCAAAACAATGGTTATTTTAATCTGCATACGACAGAGTAAAAAAATACAGGATGTTCTATTTAAGTTAACAATGCTATAGCTGTTTGAAGTTATCAAAATGTAACAGTAAAAATGAAACACTAAGTATTAAATGTTTTAAATTTTTTCTTTAAAAATTAATATTTCAAATTCTATAACTCCTAGGAATAGGGAATATTTAATAAAGTGACCCTCAAATTTCACGTAGAATTCGATGTACTGGAGAGTTCTAGATATTTTAATTGTATTCGCCCAAGGACATTGTCATGTCAAATTTTTTAAATTTTCGGAGCAGTACTTTCCTAGATATCGATCGACGCAGTTCCAGGTGCGAGACCCTGTATATGAAATAAATTTTTCTTTGATCATTAAATGTGAATGGATATAAAAACATTGTTGAAACAAAAAATTCCCACCCATCCATATATTGATTATTTGTAATGAATCCATCATAGTCGGAGTCAAGTATTTTTAGTTGGACTTTTCTTATAATTCACCAATATTGCTCTATTGAAAATGCAAATGTCACATTGGATAAAAAAACTGATAGTGTAGTCCAGGCGGTATCTGTTTCGGGTTGGATAAAACGCATATAATCGGAGATTTTTGCTTTAACGGCTTCTAAATAACATCAGAAATGATAATATTTCTATGCAAATAAAAAACACGTGGGCTTAATTGTTATTGCAAAAAAGTATTAAAAAAATTCATTTTTTTCTTGGATTTCTCGTCGACAACTTAGCAACTATTCATTTTAGACAAAAATGGAAGAGGAAAAAAATTTTGTAATTAAATTTTGAACAAGATAGAGTTAGTTGCAATTCGAAAAAATTATTATTGTTATTGCAAAAATCGGAAAAATCATTTACAAAATTGCAAAGAGTGCTAGTTTATTTGTCAATATTTTTCAGACACTTGTATAATACCTAGGATCTTCATACTTTTCCCAATTAAATATCTTAGTGCACAGAATCATCACACCAAATTTCATCCAATTCGGTTAGATAGTTTTTACATAATACCTAATTGTTTAATTCTTTTTCATTAAAAAATTTTTAAAATTAAATTTCTAAAAATCGAAAGCCTTTTAATACTTGCAAATTTCACCACAAAAAGAAGAGCTTTCAAGCTTTAAAATGATTTTTTTTAAAATCAAATCGGACGATTAGGCGAGCCGTGGTGATTGTTTAAACATTTTGGCAATTTTCACGCTTATAAACAATCGCAATAATTTAATGTTTTTTTCAATTTTTTTTTTAATTTTAAAATATGGTTTAAAAGTACTCGGAAAGACGAGTGTTTAAAAAAAAAACCTGATGATCCGCCCATTATTTCCGGAGTTATAGCCCGTTAAAGTTAACCCTTATTTACAGCAAAACTATAAGGGTATAGGGGCTGTTTTTTGAACTAATAGGTTTGTCATTCCGAGTACTTTCCAGATATAAATTTTCAAAATTTGCAATAACGGGCGTCCCATTTAAAATGTCACTCAAAGATATTCAAGACCGCGTGAAATCAATAAAATATCAGTGGTGGGAGGAGCAAATCCACAGCTACTCCGATCTGAATTCTCGAGTTGACAAATAAACTATCATTTTTTGTAATTTCTTAAATGATTTTTCCGATTTTTGCAATAACAATAATTATTTTTTCGAATTGCAACTAACTCTATCTTGATCAAAATTTAATTACAAAACTTTTTTTCCTCTTCCTTTTTTGTCTAAAATGAATAGTTGCTAAGTTGTCGACGAGAAATCCAAGAAAAAAATGAATTTTTTGCTATTTTTTTATACTTTTTTGCAATAACAATTAAGCCCACGTTTTTTTTATTTGCATAGAAAAATTATCATTTCTGATGTTATTTAGAAGCCGTTAAAGCAAAAATCTCCGATCATATACGTTTTACCCAAGATTACCTACCATTTTTAAAACAGATATCGCCTGGACTATAGAACATATTATTTCTAATGATTTTCAATTTTTATAAAGGACTAGATCAGGGGTCGGCAAGTAATTTTAGGTGCGGTCCGGATACTTTTGAAAATTTTTAACGAGGTCCAAAAAAAAATTCATATTTCTTATTTTTTTAATTTTAATTTGGACTCAAATTTAATCTGCTTACTAATTAAGAATTCAAAACACTCACACAATTGTAAAATACTAGAAAAAATTATAAGATTGGCACTTAAACGTAAAAAACATTTTTTAAATAATTTATTTGAGTAATTTACACTTTCAAAAAATTTTTGGCGGTCCAGTATTTTACCTTCCGCGGTCCGGACCTGGACCGCGGTCCGCCAGTTGCCGACCCTTGGACTAGATGTTAATACTTTGTTAATTATCAGTATTTTCGACTTATTTGCACATCTTGCACTCATTTGTGCTTTGAGAATATTTCCATCCTCTTTTATACAATTTGATAGTACAGGAGCATATAAATACATCTTGTGCACTGGACACACAAGTGCAAATCAGTCAAAAACGCCGACGATTTAGATTAGACCAATGTTATCATTAATATATGATACCCACTCAAAATATTCGAATCCATTCATGGTTCATATCTACTAAAAAAAGGGACAATTCAAAAAAGGGGACCCCAACAGGGAAATTAGCGATGCGTCCCGTGTAATTAATCCGGAATCGTAGAATAATAATGACAGGGTCCCGCACAGGTGCTAGCCTGTTTTAATAATATTATTGCAGGGGGCAAATAATGGGTATGATATTCAGCTGCATGTACTTGTTTATTTAATATGAAGGAGAGCTCCGAGTGGCATTAGGGATGCTCCGCTCTACGAGTTCACGCCTCGCTAAGGGGATTTCAAGGCTCCCATTGTGGTGCAGACCGCCGGAATTAAGTTGGGAAGTGTAAAAAATGGCATTAGACATGAGTTAGTTGAGTGGAATTAAACCTATATTTCTTTATAAACCGTTTCGAAAACGTTATATTCTCTGTATTTTTTAACAAACGACCAAATTTGATCTAAAAAAAAAATAATAATAATGACACTATAAAATTTAAAACTTCTAAAGAGAAAAACAATGGTTTATCTTAGGTAGCTATTTAATCAGTGGCTGCTGGTGCAGGGGGCTCTGGGGCGCCGCCACCCCTTCTAGAAATTTTAGTCATAAAAAAATGTAATTGAACATTTAGATTACAATGTTATGTAGATAATTAGATTAGCCATAAGGCGGAAATATACATGCCTCTTGCTTGCACAATAGTATGCAAGTAGCTTGCAGAAGATAGCTCCTGGTATGTGTATTTATTAAAAGGCATGCCTGTAGAAGGCGCTCAAGTAAATTGCACATTTTAAGGCGGAAATACACATGCCTCTTGCTTGCACAATAGCATGCAAGTAGCTTGCAGGAGATAGCTCCTGGTATGTGTATCTATTAAAAGGCATGCCTGTAGAAGGCGCGCAAGTAAATTGCACATCATTTGATTTTTTGGCATGCAATGTGAGGCGGGGGGTTTCGGGGGAGTTCAAG